GTCTCTCACCAGCGCCGCTTGGGGCCTCCCCCTTTCCCCCGCCTTCGGCCCGTGACCCCGTTTCAGTCCCCCGGCAGCTGCCGCCCCCTCCTGCCCGGTGACAGCTTTGGCCGGGACTGACAGCCCCGGGCGGAACTGAGGCGGGGCTCCTGGGCCCAGGGGCAGGGTGCCGGTGGAGGCCCCAGGTGAGACTGGGCAGGGCCGGCAAGGCCTGAGGAGCCGCCCACCCATCCCAACAGCTGTGCCCCTCTGTCCCTCCCTTCATAGTGCGCTAATATCCCTAACAAAATGCATTGCATGTGGAACAGGAAATACTACAGAGATTCATCTCTTAACTGAAAGCAACTTTTGGATAAAAAGAAGAAATAAACTTACTAGAATTTTAAGTAAAAGAAAAAATGCCTGGGAGTCTGAAGGCCCTTTGGCAGGTTGCCAAAGACTTGCTACTCTGTTACGCTGAATTTTCTGTAAGGGAATAGCAGAGGACAGGTACGGAGAAGCCATATGTGCATGACTCCAGTCACACACATTTGAGGTATGGCTCAAAATACCCATTTCTTCCTGTGCTATGCAACTCACAAGGAGCAGGGTGTCAAATTCCTGATGTCCATAATCATATCGGCAAGCAGTTGGAGAGCAAATTTCTTCCTACTGGGCAATCAGCTTGCTTCTCAGGTAATGAATATTGGTAATTGCGCTTTATCTTTGTAAAACAGCGAAAGCTTTTGCAGGTATGTCCACAGTTAGCTAAGAAGTTTTAGCATCAGAAAACCCGTGGAGTTGAAATGGGGTGGGGGGACTCAGGATAACATTCTTCTGATAGGAAAAGATTAATTTAAAACATACAGAAATGTAAATATGAACTGTCAGTCAGAAATGTTGTTTCTGTAGAATCATAATATGTTTAATCTCCATGTGTTACGACTTTAAGCATCCTTTGTCCTTAAATGTCCACTTAGAAACCTTTTTATATTTTCCCTCCTACACTTCTCCTAAGATAAATGATGCCAGTTTCCCTAATCTCTTTTCTTGCAAGTTTTCTTCATCTTCTTTGCTTGTTTTCTTAGTCCCTGATAATTTTGCAATTTCAGTTTTGAGCTAGGGTGACCACAAATAAAGAGCGTATCCTAAATAAGACTATTTCTCAGCTTTATATAACTGTACTTAAATATTCTCTGTATTGTTGTCATTATTCTATGTCTGTCTTATCCTATTGGCTTGGCTTTTGTGATCACATCCTCCTATGACAAATCATCATCATAAGAAACTGTATAAATCCTGTAAACCCCATTATAATGTTTATACTTTCCATTTCCCTGCATTTATCCAATTTTAGTTTATTTTCTGGTAACGTGTTCTCCTATTCATTTACCTTCTAGACTTGTTGAATTCTTGCTGTCTCTCCGATCCTGACTGACCTAACTGTCCGTCCTCTGATATTTGTTGGTTTTCTACTTGTTCCTTTTTTCAGTTCATAAATGATTCAGCAGAGTCCCAAACTCGGAGACTACTGGAGCGGAACGAGGCATTTCAGATATTCATATGGACTACAGGCTTAACTTGCATATAACTGGTGAAATAGTACCACAGTTGGCTAACTGCTGTGAAACAGTATCTAAACAGAATATGAGGTGATCCATCATTAAACTTTTGCCCTTAACAGAAATGTAGGTCTGCATGATGTCCATGTTGATATTTTATCCCAGACCTAGGACTTTTTTTTCTTAGTAGCCTTTTGTGTCAAAAGTCTCTTGGACTATTTTTAAACTTTATCATCAGGTGCTATGCATTTCTTTCAACAAGGTAGTTTGAGTGGCAGAAACAGCATAGCCATGCAAGTTTACAATGAGGATTCAGGTTTCTGCTGAGCTCTATGTTACGCCACTTGGCCAAACCCTTGAAAGTCTAAATTATGCCTGCCAGCTCTTTTATATTCATTACCTCTTAGACATTTCTGTAAGAGATTATTGAGGCATAATTATCTTCACAAAAGACTAGTGTTAGCTAGACACTTTCAGATCATGCTTTTCTAGGTGTTACGTTTTTTAATTACTTTTTCCCCTACAGATACTAGATTTACAGTCTTACATTTCTCATGTTACCCTACAAGTTTTTTTAAAAAACAGATATTTTCTACACTGTAAACCTCCTGACTTCCTTTAAACCAGAGATTGGATGCTTTAATATTTCAGCTAAGCTACTCTTAAATTCTTCCTAAACTTTTGTAAGTAAGCATCACCCAAACTGAAGTAGGACTTTATAAAGTGGAGTAATAGCTTATTAGGCCAATTTATTTTCCTTGTAAAATGCAGGCAGTCTGCCTTCAATTATATTTTTAGATCGTGAGACATGAAAGTGTTATTGCAGGTTTTTAAATTTGTCTGCTTTCTAGTCCTGGAGACAGCTTTCTTCTTAGTATCAAAAAATAACAGGTCTGGTATAGGAATTGCACCTCATCCATGAAAGTTGCTGAAAAGCATTTTCTGAAGTTTAGTTTGGTGATATCTTCTTGTTCACTTTTATCATGACCATACAATGATTCTTTCAGAGGTAGCTGTTTGGCACATTTGTATCTTCCAACACATAAAAGGTTTGCCTTTGTAGTTTGTTTCCTCTTGTTAGCTTCATTCCAGTGAAGCTTTCTGAATTCTGTAGTATTTGTTCATTTTAAAACATCTCTTGAACTATATTCAAGAGATACTCCCTTTCCCCAACTTACCTTTTTTTGTTCAGTGATTACATATCTCTTGAGACTCAGTGTGTTTTAATTAACTGATTTGAATGAAATATTAATACCTAAACCTTACAGTGACTCTCTAACACCTTCCAGATATTTGACATATGGCTTTAATGATACTGTTGCAACTACTGCTTAGCGGTGTGGCACTATTGCTTCAGTGGCTGCCCGACAGTGTGCAGGACCAATAATTATCTTATGTGTTCTAGAACTTACTGTACCAACAAACAAGAGCATCAACAATGTTTTTCTCTAAAATGTGAACATTGAGCTGTTTGACCATTTTTATACAGGATGCTGATGACTAAGCCTTAGGATTTCAATTTTGATTCCTCTGAACTCCCATAGCAGTGTGTATTCAGTTTGCCCTAAATTCTTAATCCAAAAGTTGATAGTATAGGCCCACTGATAGGTTTGTTGTCTTTCATGCCGAGTTTTGTAACTGCATGGATTCGTCGGTGTGGTCTCTTCTCCTCAGAATTTGCAGTTTTCGCAAATCTGTAGGTTCTTAGAGCTACTGTGCTATCCCCCACCCCCTTACCCTGCCATTACTTGCGGCCAGATACGACTCCGCAGGCTGCTCTGCCTTATTACCCAGGCTGTGCAGAAGGGTGGGTATCAGTCATGGCTGATACTGGCTACCTTTCCAATCAGCCAGTCTGTGTGCTCAACACAGATGAATCAAATGTCTTTTTATCTCAATATTGTGATAAGTGGTATATTGTTTGTTCACCAAACTTGATGAGACAATTGCCTTTTGTGGTATAAGCTAAGGAAACTGGCTATGAGAGTTTGGACTTTGCCTAAGGTAATGACATATGATAACTCGGAATATTTGTAAAGGAATTTACAAATTTTAGAGAAATGGGGGAAATGAAAGGGTTAAATCCCTGACAATCCCTGACTAAAACCTTGCTGTGATTTTTCTTAGCTTCACTTGCATAGTTTTAGTGATTTAGTAGAGACATGTAAATTCTTACCTGACCAGAATTTACAGGCCTTGAGCTAGCTCATTAGGCCCCCGGTGTAAATCACTGATAATAGGAACTCAGGACGACTGTGTCAAGGTAAGTGTTAAAAAACTAGTTAAACTGACCCCCTTGTAATATTCCAGAGTCAAAGGACTGATAAACTAATTCAATGACTATATATGGACAAAGGAAGCCCAAAGTTCAACCAGAGGACAGAGCGAGGAAGACTATGAATGACCACCGGAGGGTGAAAAGACCCTAACCCTAATTTTACTGCGCATGCGTGGGAGCTCATCACCATAAGACTACCCTTTCCAGGAAATCTGATGAGTATGTATGATTTTTCTGTACATAACCTGATGTGCTTTGCCAACCTGCGTGTGCCGCCGGTGGAGCAGAGGCTCCCGGGCCACCCAGCGCTGTTTTGCTTATTGCCATTTCTTGCTAATTAATAAATTGATCATACACTCAAACCAGTCTCACCGTGATTTGTGACAGTTACACATAACATGCCCACCTTTATAGCTTGGTACTTCAAGAGTCTCTGTGGTGACAACCAATGCCCCCCTTTCATTTCTAATACTATGGATACAGTGTGGGACACCAGGACTGTGACCTTTTGGCCTAGAGTGAATTTACGGGCTTCCTGAATATTAAGTACAACTGCAGCCACAGCCCTTAAACAGCTAGGCCATCCTTTACTGACTTCATCAAGTTGTTTGGAAAAGTAGGCTACTGCCCTCCGATATGGCCCTAAATTCTGGGCCAAAATTCCCAAGGCTATTCCCTGTTTCTCGTGAGAGAATAACCAAAAAGGTTTGGTGGTATCTGGTAGCCCTAGAGCGGGTGCTCTCATTAATTCATGTTTTAAAAGATGAAAGGCCTTATTTGCCTCCCCATTCCAGGTAAGGTTTTTCGTACCTGTTTTCAAAATCTCATAAAGTGGTTTTACCAGAAGTCCGTAGTTGTAAATCCACAGGCGACACCACCCCGTCATGCCTAGGAATGTAGGCCGTCTGGGGCTTGGGGGTTTGGCAGATGGCTTCCTTTCTCGCGGCCCCTAGCGTTCGTTGTCCAGCAGTAATCTCATAACCGAGGTATGTTACTTGCTGTTGGGTGACCTGGGCTTTCTGTGGAGAGACTCGATAGCCATTTAGTCCAAGAAAATTCAGCAAACTAATGGTCCATATCATGCACAGCTCCTTTGTTTCAGTGGCTATGAGTAGATCATCTACATATTGCAACACCACCCCAGCCCCCTTTTGCAGAGGTGCTGCCTCTGCTCCCCTGGACATGGCCCCCTGCCGCACCGCAGGGCAGTTCCCGTTTCTCTCCCATTTCAGTACAGGGTGTGGGGGCATTGGTATCGCCTTTTGATCTCAATAGCAAAGTAACGCAGATTTAGGTAAAGTGGTTTGAATGTTGCCATCCAAGCAGTGATATGGCTGATTTGTGTGGGTGTTCCTGGAGGCCATTTCTAGTGAGTTCTGCCAAGGCAGGGTGCTTCTTACCAGTGACCACTTGTGTGCTTCCGAGAGGGCCTTCTGCAGTAATTTCATGATTCACTTCCACCCCCTGGGTGAGGGTTGTTTTTTGTTTTGTTCATGTTTTGTTTTTTAATGCTGTTTCCTGGCTTCTTTATATCTCTCTTTACGCCTGAGGTTTAATTTAAAACCTTGACCTTAAATGGTGGAATGAGTAAATTTAGTGAATCCTGTCACGGAAGCCCCTTTTGCAAGCTAGTAATGAGACGGTAGCAGTCTCATGAGAAGATTGCTGAATGATACCAACTTTACTGGCTGCTTGCGTTCCAGTACTTTATTAGTCTTAGTGCAGTCTTCCTACCTGCCCCTGCTGTGGCCGGCTCCCTCATCTTCCCCAAGCAGGAGGAAAGCTGCTTGCATGGTTTCTGTGGTGGTGAGCAAGAGGAGCGGGCTGTGTCTGTCACTAGAGCATCTCATCAGGAAGACTCAATACTGCGTGGGGGTTACCTCCAGTTATCTCCTTATACTGGAGGAAGAGGAGTCCAAATGCTGTCTTGATTTGCAGTCTCTGCCATGAGCTGAAGTTCTCCAGAGGGAGCCCTTTTCTCTCCCTGCATACCTGTAGAGAGATGAGATGAGTAGGGGACTACTAAGAAAGACCTGAAAGAGAATCTTCGCACTCCCCTTTTCTGGAGGCTTAATAGTATTCTGGTACTCTGTGAAAATATGCAAATTTTAGTTTCATTGGGAGAATTAAAAAAAAAAAAGTCATCAGTATTTTACAGACATTTGGTGGCAGATCTGATCTGTGGAATTTTGTTATTGCAGAAGAATGTGACATTCTTTTGATTTTCTATTTGATCTGCTTGTGTTCCTTAGAACCACCTTTGGTTTATTTTTTGCTTTGTGAGAAGCTGTTGCGCATAGCTGAAGAGTCCAAGTTCCAGAAAGAATCCCTAAAGTACACATGTAACATAAATGCTGTAGGACTTGTTGCACTGCTTTACTTTTGTGATAATTTAGTTTGAGCTTTACATTCTTAATCTTGTTTTACATAGTGCCCAAAACTCTTCTTCACTCTTAGAGAATTTTTCATCATTTGGAACATAGAAGCATAGAATAGTTTGGGTTGGAAGGGACCTTTAAAGGTGATATGAGCCCCCGGTAAGCAGCACACCTCTCTAGAGATTGCGTCTGGTAATTGCATCAGGATAGATTGCGTCTAGGGATTGCGTCATGAGCTCTGTTAAATTGGCAGTGTAATTCCATGATTATACTCTGTTTTCACCTGTGTTACTCATATGAAAAGGTGTTACCACAGACAGATTCACATGCACACTTTCTCAGGCCAGCTTTAAGCTCTGTGAAACCCCCATCCCTGTGCATTATAGCTATGGCATGTACAAATTATTCAGCTACCACTAAAAATGTTGTCTCTTAGTTTTAGTGTTGAAAATGTGAGTTAGTAAATAGAACAATAAGTTGTAATATTTTTACTATTTAAAAATAACCTTTCTTCTTTGTGTCAACCTATTGAACAATTGCATGTTTTTAGTAATAACACCATACGAGAGTCACCATTCAGTCTTCTTTCCTAAAATTATACTAGAATTTGTTGTATTCAAATAAACACATTAAATGCTCAAGTACAAATTGGTATTAGAGAAGGTAAATAGAACTTTTATTCTTCTAATTTTTTGCACATCAAAAATAAAATCATAGAATAGTTTGGGTTGGAAGGGACCTCTAAAGGTCATCTAGTCCAACACCGCTGCCATGGGCAGGGACATTTCAACTAGGGTCAGCTGGCTCAGAGCCCCGTCCAACCTGACCTTGAATGGTTCCAGGGATGGAGCATCCACCACCTCTCTGGGAAACCTGTGCCAGTGTTTCACCACCCTCAGCATAAAATATTTATTCCTTATATCTAGTCTATATCTACCCCCCTTTAGTTTAAACCCATTCCGTCTTGTCCTGTCACAACAGGCCCTGCTAAAAAGTCTGTCCCCATCTTTCTTACAAGCCCCCTTGAAGTACTGATAGGCTGCAAGAAGGTCTTCCCAAAGCCTTCTTTTCTCTAGGCTGAACAACCCCAACTCTCCCAGCCTTTCTTCATAGGAGAGGTGTTCCATCCCCCTGATCACTTTTGTGACCCTCCTCTGGACCCGCTCCAACAGGTCTGTGTCTTTCTTATGCTGAGGGCTCCACAGCCAGACGCAGTACTCCAGGTGGGATCTCAGCAGAGCAGAGTAGAGGGGCAGAATTCCCTCCCTCGACCTGCTGGCCAC